GTATTTAACCTAAAAAATATGTTAGTCACGTCAACATCACTATTCAATTAATCCTTAAATAGAAAAAGTTGAAAGTTGACATCCTTAAATAAAAAATGTTAAAAGTTGACATCCTTATTTAGAAACTGACAAAGTTAACATCTTTATTTAGAAAAAAAATTAAAAGTTGACATCTTTATTTAAAAATTAACAAAGTTAACACCCTTAAATAAAAAAATTATAAAATTAAAATCCTTATTTGCATCATTACTCTCAATCTTGGTCTCTAGTTCCTGTTTATGTATTTTTACTCATGTGCTATTTTATTCTCCCCAGCCCCCATTTTTTACGTACGTATGAAAATCAGTTTTTCCCTAGATGTCGACATGATGAGTTTTATAATTTCTTTTGACTTTAAGGAAGAAAATAAGAACCTAACCAAATGAAAACCGCGGGATAAGAAACGTACAAAAATAAAAAAATAATTAAAAAAATAAAAGGCCAGCGCATGCAATCCACAATTTCCTTCCACATTTATCAACTTGAACTAAAAAAAAAAAAACTCATATTTTTTCAGTTTGAAAATATACAATTCCAACACTAAATTTATTAAATTTTGATTTATAAAGAAAAAATAAAAATTAAAATGTCTTGACATTTTAAATAATAAGAGTTTTTTTATAAAATTAGTTAAATATTTTTAATATAAATATTTAATTATTAATTTATTTAAAATATTTTAATTTTTTCATTATTAATTTTAATATTAAAAATATTAAAATGTTTTCATTTTTCTCAATTTCTTTATAAATAATCTAAAAAAATTATAAAAAAGAGTTTTATTAAAAATATTTTACATAATAATTTTAATATTCAAACTATACTTTTAATATGTAATTAAATTTAAAAAACATTATTTGGATTAAAAAAATAAAGATGATTTTATTTTTCTTCGTCTCCAAACTCGGTTCTTGTTTTTCAATGACAATTACAATAACACCCACTGACTTTCTTCGAGTGATGACAACATGACAGCGCGGATCCAACATTCACCTACCCCCTTGTTGACAAAATTACCCTCAATATTCCACGGAAGAACCTTCCTTTCCCGCGGCATGATCTTCCCATGCACAGGGACATTGCAGACATTCAGACAGAAATTTCTCTGCTTTTTCGCTTTGGAATCAAAGATTTTGATTGTTTCTTCCCCGGTTCCATGTATTTGTAATTTTCATATTTTAGGTAATGATTAAGAAGGTGATTAGATAAATTAATCAGTGATCTTCCATTTCCTGGTCCTGCGCAACCATTTTAAGGTCAAATACATGCAAGAATCGCGACCACCCACGTCATGAGAAACGAAAAGTCTACACAGGTTATGGTTTCGATTGATTTCGTAATCTCAGTGTCATGCATGCATAATCCTTAGCTTGATCATTTTTTCTAAGAAATCAAAAGGTTTCTAGAAGATAAGATCTTAAGCCAATTCTTTTAGGTAAGCTATGTATAAGTCCACAAAATGTTGATAGTTGCAAGCTTTACCAAACCCTTAATAGTTTTTCATATAGAAAAATCTAAAAGGAACAATTTCATCTCAAAATTGTCTTCTTTATTACTGTTCGATAAGTCCGAAAATTAATGCATTAGATACAATGATGGATCTTAATTATAAAACAAACTTACGAGATCTAATGTGACATTAAT